TTATAAGCTAAATGGGAGTCTTTTAAAAGGGAATGTGTCCTTGACCATAGAGAATGTGGCTCAGATGGACCGTGGTCTCTACTGTTGCCGTGTTGAACACAGGGGGTGGTTCAATGATATGCAACTCACCCTGTCATTGGAGATAAAGCCAGCTGAGTTCACCAGTGTTCCAACGTCACCTAGGGTCTTTACCTCTACTTCTTCAATGCCAGCACCCATGCAGAACCTCAAGCCAGCGACTTCATCTTCTCCAGTGCAGACAGCAGAAACCCAGCCTACTGCACCACAGGAAACGAGCACAACACAGCCCACCCAATTCACCATTGTACTCTTGCCCAACAGATGGGAATATCACTGTGACACTATCTTCAGATGGCCTTTGGCATAGCAATCAAACTGTGTTGCTAGCACAAAATCCATGGATGACCACCTGTAAGGGACTCTACATTGGAATCTGCATTACTGCTGTGGTATTGCTCACTGTGTTGGTTGTCCTGATTACCGAAAAATATTTATGCATAAGAAACAAGCTGAAAGAACTAAACTTGGTTTCGTTGAGTGACCCTCAGACTGGAGCTTTGCAAAGTGCATCTGAAGTGGGTATGCGAGCAGAAGACAATATCTACATTATCGAGGACAATCTTTACGTCATGGATTAAGACCCAGTGGCCCTCTAAGGGTTTATGCCCTTGACTGCAGAAGACAGTGACAAGATATCACCATGTCAGGGTTCTCTTAAGCTCTAGAATGAATTTTCTGTCAATTTCAAATGATATTCCAATATGTCAGTTATGATGGGTAGACTGAATTTGGTTCATCTGTGTACAGTCAACCTCACTGGTCATATAGTCCATTTTTTTATACTATAACTGGTACAATATTTCTGGTCATTGCAGAGCTTTCTCTCAAACATGAAATGAATACTTTAGGAATGTATATTCTCTTTGGACCCTATGAACCATATATCCATCAAGAATTCTCACTGGTAAGACAGGAGAGGAACTAATACATTGGTCACCAAAGCTGTCAAGAAGAGCAGAGAACTCCAAATGTTATAGTTCTTAGGTTCCCCAAAGCTTTCAAATCATGGGGGTACACAGGCTTTTATTTCCCCTATGGGGAAATAGAAGTGAATGTTATTTTGCCATTGTGGGTAAATCCAATTTCTCATAGCTCTGGAAATATGTGATATTAAGGCTTTCACTAGAACCAATGTGGGTATTTTAGCAGTTAGAAGAAACTAGGGTAGTGAGTGAACTAAGAAGATACCTGGGCAAGAAAATCAGTTGATTTATTACATGCTATTTCTGCTACATATGTTCCATAGTTCCAAGCATTTGTGCCCACAATTGTCATGCTCTCTGAACTAATTTTTAGAATGAAGCAGGGTAGAAATAAATAGAAGAAAAAAAGAGAGAAGGCTAAAAGGCTTTTTGCTTTAGAAAAGTTACTTTGCAAATATAATAGTGTTATTAGAGAATGTTACCAAGTTTCAGTCAAAATTCTAAATTGTCACCAAATTACTGTGATTTTTAAAATTGTTTTGGAAGGATGAGGGTTTCTTTTTTAATAGCAAATCAATTCCAATACTATTCTTTTTTTTTTTTTTTTGACAATTCAGTGAAATTTTTGTTTTTTTCCAAGAGAGTTAAACAAAGGCTAAAAATAAGGACTTTTTAATATCCACAGGCATTTCTACATGAACAGTTAACAAGGTTGGATGTTAATTTCAATCTGAGTAAAACCTGAAACAACTCCTTCTTGGGGTTTAGAGATAAACTATAGTGGTTGAGTAAGGCAAGATGTTTATTTCTAAAGGCAACATCCTTGACATGGTTCTGCAGAGTTCTAGGAAATTAACATGACCTCTGAATAAAAGTTGTATCGGCAAATAATATTATTAAACATGTTACCTTGGGTTTTCCAAGTGCAGCCAAGATCTGACCTGGCCTAAGAAGTTTTGTTTAAACTACAGTGTTTTTCTTTCAAATTCAAGACAACATGCATAAACATGGAGAATTCAGATGAAAGCCTGGATTTGTAGTTTCTCTGGAAAGACCTTGAAATATTGAGCTGAATTCTATAGTCAGGACCCTATTATATGGTGCTACATCCCCTTAGCCCCTAGTCCTTGGCTTTTCTGCCCAGACACACATTTGCTACCTGCTTTGTGATTGGGACTTGGAATTTATAACAGCTCTGCTCTCTTTACCCTTCCTGCAGATTTATGATGGCACATTAAAATTTCTGAGAATCTGGTTAACTTTGTTACTCCAGCATTTCCAAAACTTGCTTGAACCCCATGAATACAAGGACTACTGCCATTTCCAGTCACATTCTGTGAAACGATGTGAAGATGTGTGGGAAAGAAGGTGGTACACAGAATTAGGACTAGGACCTGAGTTCTATTCTTAACTCTTAACAGAAACACTGGATGCCATTAGGGCGAATGTTTCTTGATGCCTACATTTTTTAATCAATCAGGCATAATTATTCCTATAATTATGTCAGTATATAGCAGTAATTCCATGCCATGTTACTCACGAGAGGTCTTTGAAAAGTGAAAAACACTATAGAAATGCAAAAAGTTTTTTTGTTGTTGTTTTTGGTTTTGGTTTTTTTGGTTGATTTTGTAATAATAGAAGATTTAGATTTAGTGCTCAGTAAATAATTTCAATGGTGTTGCATTCCTTATTGGAAGGAATAATGTTTCCTTTTGAAAAGTTGATATAGGGTAATTCAGCTAACTTTATACTGTAGAAAAAATTGCCAATAACTGAGGATGAATAGGTGAGCAGGTAGGAGGGGGAAGTATTTAGTTAATATTAAATTCTTTTCTGTGCATATATCCATCTTATAAAATATATTGACTTGTTTTCACTGCTTGGGGACAATTGAGGTTCCATTTTCTACAAACTGACTTGACAGTTTGGTTTAAGACACTGGTGTAAGATATTTAAACTTGGGAAATTTTGCACATCTTTAAGAAGTAGCAGAAATGTTTCACTAAGGGCTGTGAAGATAATGTTGGGAGTACATGAAAGTATGAGGGACTCTTTGGGACTAGTTTCATTTGTATGTACGCTCATTAATAAAAGAGATTTTCGCTTTTATTTTGAAAATGACTTGTTGCTCTCTTAGGCTCATCTGTTAGTTGGAGCCTAGCATGTTCAACTTGCTGCAGGCTCCCAGAACAAGGGCAAGTAGGGCAAGTTTTGAAAGTCAAGTGTGCCCAGCACTCCTCTAAACATCAGGGGTAGAGCAGAGAACAACCTTGAAATACAGTTCTTGAGGAACTCCAGCTTTGTAGGGAAGAGACTCTCAAATCATTGATTCTAATGCAGAGGAGAAAAAGAATATGGTGGGAGCAGAGCTCCTCAGTTGTGGCATTTTGGGCCTGATAACCCTTCGTTGTGGAGGCTGTCCTGTGCATTGTAAGATATTTAGCAGCATCTCTGTCCTCTATGCACTGGAGGAGACAGATGGGCCCCTCTAGCTGTGACAACTATAAATGTCTCCTGAGAGGCAATACCACCTCTGGTTGAAAGCCAACGTGAGAGAGATACCTGGAGGATGTGGGCGGTGTGGGGAACGGTGTCGCCTTAGTGGGGTTGGTTACAAGCTGCTGCTGGGTAAGAGGTGACATTTAGGTTGAAACCAAATGAATGTGTGGGCAGCAGGCTCTTCAGGGAGTCCACCAAATGCAAAGACCTGAATTAGGAAGAGGCCTGTGTATTAAGAGAGAGAGAGAGCAGGGTATGTTCTGAGGACTAAAAAACCAGTATGGCTGCAGCAGTGCGTGAAGAGGACTGGAAAGAACTGACACTGGAGAAATGGACCTGATGACTGGCAAGATTCTAGATGAAAAGGACTCTAGGAACACATGTGTTGGAGAAGAATCCCTCTCTTCGAAAACAAAGCACTTTTGTATATTACGGGTTAAATCTGGTTTCCATCACTGAATTATATTTTATTTTTTTCAAATGTTTATTTATTTTGAAAGAGAGAGAGCAAGAGAGGGGCAGAGAGAGGGAGACAGAGAATCCCAAGCAGGTTCCATGCTGTCAGCTTGGAGCCTGACACAGGGTTAGAACCCATGAACCATGAGATCATGACCTGAGCCAAAACCAAGAGTGGGCTGTTTAACTGACTGAGCCACCCAGGTGCCCCTCCAAATTATATTTTAATGTGCATTCATGTGCTCCAGTGACACTGTTTTCAGAACAGATCTGGGTGTCTCAGTTGTTTAAGCGTCTGACTCTTGGTTTCAGCTCAGGTCATATGATCTCACAGTTTGTGGGTTCGAACCCTGAGCCTGCTTGGGATTCCGTCTCCCTCTCTCTCTCTGCTCCTCCCCTGCTCTCTCTCTTTCTCTCTCTCTCAAAATAAATAAATAAACACTAAAAATATAAAAAGCCAGTTTGGTTGGGGTAACAAAAGAAGAGGAAGGAGAAGGGAAGATGGGTATATCCTAGCAGTGAGGGTCTTTCTACAGGGCTTTGTGAGGGCACCCAGGCCCTGCAAGAGGGATCCTGGAAGAACATGATAAGGTGCCATGCAGTGTTCAGTAGTAGGTGGTGCAGGGATGCCTTCAGTTGGCCAATGATGGATTTTTAAACTAGTTTTGATGTGCACTTTTAGGCAACAGTGCATTAAAACCATGATTTCATGGATATTGTTTAGGATGACTACAGTTTTAAAGTTAATTACTCTAAAACAACTTGAGTGAACAATAGCAAAGCATCAGTGTGAGTTTAGCAAAGGTTATGCAGATACATGAAGTCTGGGAAGCAATAGGTTAGATCAGCTGGGAGGTTGTTCAAATATAGACTTCAGGACCTCCCTCCTAGAGATTCAGATCTGTAAGACGGGTGTGACCTAAGAATTTATTCTTTGTTTAAATTACAGAAGACCAGCTACTACGAATTACTTAACATTTCAATCAAAATATTCAGATTTCCCGAAAGAGTATGTAGAAATAAGAACATGTAATGGTCCTTCATTTCTACTACTTTCTTTTTTTAAGTTTATTTATTTATTTTGAGACAGAGACAGAGAGAGAGGGAGCACAAGTAGGGAAGGGTCAGAGAGAAGAAGAGACAGAATCCCAAACAGGTGCCACACCAGTGCAGAACCTGATGTGGAGCTTGAACTCACAAACTGCGAGATCATGACAGAAGCTGAGATCAAGAGTCGGATGCTTATCTGTCTGTGCCACGCAGGCACCCCATTTCTGCTTATTTCAGAAGTGAATCTCAGGAAACGAACGTGGCAACTTTATATTTAGAGTGAATGGGTATTTTGATGTCAGTTTTGAAGATAAAATTCCTCAGACTCCCCCAAATACAAGGATGCTGTAAGAAATGTAGGGAAGACGTATTTACTCTCTGCATTTCATAGCCTAGTTTGTGCAGAAATGTTTCTTTTGGGTTCAAAATGCTCTCTAGAAGGAAAGAAATAGCAAAATCGATCGTTTGTTCTTCGTCTGATCAAGGTCCTTTATCAGTTGGTTGTGGGCCGCTTTGGGTACACGTCCTCCCAAAACCTGGTTTCTTCTTTGACTCTTGGTGACGTCAGATTATCTGAGGAAATATAACAGAAGGACATTCCTCAACACACTGCAAAGGAAATGACAGGTGACACAAATAAGTAGCTTTGATGTGGAACGTGAGCATGGTGTCTGTAGGGCTGTGGGAGGGGCCAATAATTAGGACCCCCCAGGAATCTAATTATAAAGTTCCTTTGGGGATTCTCAAGGGCCCTTCCAACTCTGACTTGGAGTCATTGGTTGCATATAGTGTCTTTCTCCACTCCCACCAATCCTTTCTCCAACATCCCTGCCCCCCTCCAGGCCATTGGAATAATATAAGGAACCAAGATCTGATTGTGTAATGTGTTAACTGAAAAACTCCCACTGCTCTCCAGTGGGTAAAAGCCTAACTTTGTAGTAGGCCTGTTAGAGCATCTTCCTTGTCTGCAACATGCAGCCCCTCTCTGCCATGCTCCAGCACACAGAAATGCCTCAGATACTCTCTACTCTGCAGGTCAACTCACCTTCCAGGAATGCTTGTCTCTTCCCTCTCCACTGAGTATGTCATTTCTCAAGGTTCAGCTTAAATGCTACCTCTTCAGCCTTTCTGCACCTCATCTTCCCAGACAGAATTAAACCCATCTTATGAATACTTCTGTGCAGCCCTTTCTATGTCACTTGGTGAATATAATGGAGTGCCTCCCCTATGCCAAGCCTGGTGCTAATGCCTAGCTCAGCTCAGTCTGCATGAGGCCAGGGCATGTGTGACATCTTTGGGTGAATTACAAACAGGCCCCCTCTTCCTTCTGGCTGACATAGCCCTGAGCCAGGGCCAAGATTGTCCAATTGAGTCTGTACAAAGTACTACAACCATAAATAATGACCCTATAACTTAGTCCTTTGTATTAAAGGAATTTCAGTCCAATGACGCCTTTTATAGGTCTTCAGAATAAATTGTCTGAAAGAACATTTCCTAGAACCTTGGTGTATGTGCTACAATGGGGTGGGGAAGGGAAGAGTGTCTTTAAAACTCTTTTAGGAGATAGAAACAACTGTGTTCATATGTCTGGGTGGAGTGTAGGAGTCTGTGTGAATCTCTGAGGTCAGTAATTTGCAACCTTGGCTGTAAATTATAATCACCTGAGAAGCTTGGCCAACCTACCTGTGCCCAGGCCAATTGAATCAGAATCTCAGGAGGTAGGGCCCAAATAGCATAGTCGTTCAGTCTTCCCAGGTGATTTCACTGTATAGCTGAGGTTGCAAACCACTGACTTAGAGAGGGGGGAGCGAAAATGACAGCATGTTTTCTTGTTCTGTGTGACAAGTGCTCTGGAAAACATAAAACACTACAAACTAAAACAAAAAAATCTCAACGATGGGCTGGAGCAGGTGAACAACCACTAGGAAAGGGCATGCCGCTGGGTAACAGTGGATTTGTCCTACATCTGGCCTCCATGGCAACAGAATTATATTGGCAGCCCTGGGGACAAGAAGTCTGGACGTTGCTTCACTTTTGTAAAGCTTCTCAGGAAGTTGGCCCATGGCTGTCTAGCTGACTGTCTCTGGGCTTCCTAAGAACTAAATGTTTTCTTCCACAAGTTGTAAGAATAAGCAAAGAAGAAAATCCCCTTTGGCCTGTGAGGAAATGCTCTAAGGTAAACTTCTCTGTTTTGTACTGTGGATTGCTGAGATGGTGTTTGCTCTATCTGGCAGTTTCTGCACCTGCTTGAACCTAAAAAATACTTGGATGAGGACTGATTCACACATTTCTCAATAGACTTTATTTTTTTTAGAGCAGTTTTAGGCTCACAGAAATATTGAGTGGAAAGTACAGAGAGTTCCCACATAGCCACCTTCCTCTCCCTAAACACGCATTTTCCTCCACCATTAACAGCTCTCTTGAATGTGGTACATTTGGTACAACCGATGAACCAACACTGACATATCATTATCAATTGAAGTCCATAGTTTACATAAGTGTTGACACTTTGCATTGTGAATCATAAGAGCTTGGGAAAATGTATAAGGATATGTAGCTACCATTATAATATCATACAGAATAGTTTTATTGCCCTAAAAATCTCTTATACTCCACTAATTCTTCCCTCACCCCCCCCCCCAAAAAAAAAAAACCTGGGA